GGTGCTCCTGCAGGAGCCCCCTGCCCCGTACCCCCAAGAAAACGCAGGTAATTGAAAAACCACAATATCACTAGTCAAATTTAATATTGAGAGCAAGCGAGCGGGAGCCAGAGGTCAGAATTAATTATGCCCCACCATACTTGAGCACGCGGCCGCGTCTCCATGTCCTTTCCTAGGGGAGCAGGGCTTCCACGGAGAGGTCGGCAGACGTTATTAGAAAGGCCTGATTTAAACGTACCCCCAGGAGCTTTTCAGCTTGTCTCTTCAGAGCCTTTGTTTGCACAGAGATTAATGGGGAGGCGAGCGATGCAAAAGCAAAGTCACACGGAGTGAGAGGATGGGCTGTGGCCACCACCACTCGGTGCTGGCCTGGAAGGAGGGCAGGGAGCAAGCAATGCTCAGGTCATCCATTTTGCAGGTCAGAGTATGATAACTGATTTTGTGCCTTCCCCAACGGGAAAAAATATATTTAAAAAAGGGAATTTGAGCTTAAAAAAAAAAAACACACAATAAAATCTGGGGTTGGTTTTCCAATCTCTGCCCACAGATTTTGGGGGTGCACGTGGCAGCACACCTGGTTCTGAACCTGCTGCAAACTTTCCAACTTTCTCTGTTTGGAATTGCAAAGAGAGGATTAAAAAACAAAAGCAAGAGAAGTTGGCCAACCTCCATCCTCCGTGAGCCCTGAGCGACCTGGCCCGAGGTAGGACCTCCCAGGGCCCACTCCAGCCTCAACCTTTCCATGATGCCCTCACCCGAAATCAGCTTGCACAGGAGGGCTTCCTTTGGAGGAAAGTCTAACCAGACGCAGCCCTGTTGCTCCAAGACCTCAAGCAGCACTCAGGATTTGGCTGGAGGCATCTCACACACCCTTGGGTGCCAGCACTGACTACGTCAGGGCCCCCAGAACACAGCGGAGAGTGAGATGGGGGAGGGCATCCATCCCAGCCAAATAATCTGCCACCCTTGGCCACCCCTGCATCAACGGGCTGTTCGGGATTCAACCTGCACCTGAGCAGGAGACCCAGCTGCCAACGGCTCCCGTGTCTCACAGCTTGCAACCGAGGACTCCGTTTTCCTTTATTAAATGGAAAAAAAACCATTACAGTTTGGAGTCCCCATGAGGACTCTCCAAACAGCTCCCTATGGGGCTACGAGGAAGCCACTCGCCGCCCCGCCGTGTTCTTGC